GCTGGAGAACCGTGTGGGCACACGTGCTTGCAAGTCCAAAGTGCTGAAGTGGGGGAGAGATGGAGGAGAGGGGGTTGTGGGTGACCATCCCCCATGGGGTGCTCTCTCACTCTCTCTCTCTGTATCTCTCTGTGTATCTCTCTGTGTGTGTGTCTCTCTCTGAGAAGTGCACACGCCCTCTGGCAAATTAAAAATAAATAAATAAATAAATAAGTACTGAATTTCACTTGATTCATCCAGTTGCTTTATAAAATCAGTATTTAATAAACACTCGCTATATACCGGCACTGCAGGGATACAGACAGAGGGGTTACAGTGAAGAGAAGAGACGTACGTGTCTTTGCCCTCATGCCGTTTTCTGTCCATCGGGAAATCTAGACGCTAATCAGAGTCAAAAGTAGGAGGAGTCAGTGTCGGCAGGTGGTACCATGGTGAAGGCACCAGACGGCGCATGACTGCCGTGTTTGGAGTCCCAAACCAGGCAGCTTGAAATTTTCCCCGTGCATGGGACCAGCAGTTAGCATAATGGCTATGTCGCTGGACTCCCATGTAGTTGACTGTGGTTCACGTCCCGGACCCAGTGGCTTAAACTCACGCCTGGTGCGTGTGCGTGCGTGCCCAAGATCCCGAGAGGAGAATGGAGAAGGGATTGCGGCATGGCCATCTGCCCTGGAGGGTGATTTCTCACTTTCTGTCTCTCTGTCTCTGTCTGGAGCGCACACGCCCTATAGCGAAAACCTCTCCAAAAAAAAAAAAAAATTTCCCCATGCGCATGTGCATGCGTGCCCAAAATCCCAGGGGCAGAATGAAGGAGAATGTCTCAAGACATTTGAGAGTGAGGGCCAGGGTGACATGAGGCGAGGAAGGGGTGGCGGGCAGAAGCCAGAGGTGCTATACCCTCCTGACCAGCAAAGAAAATGCCCACCTTTCAGCCTGGGACCCCAGGGTCCTGCTCCTTCCCTCGCAGTACCCCTGGCCCGCCCCAGTGCTGTGCCTCAGTGTCTTTAGAGTGTTAGTCTGGGCACAAGTTGGAAGGCACCCTGATCAGGCACCGAGTTCTCGCTGCAGAAGGAGCGGATGGCAGGAGAGAACCTGTGTCTGCTGTCTGTCACCCATGTCTTTCGGGCTCTCTTCATCTGCCCCCTCTCATCTATGTGCTAATGCCATGAGCACATGGTCCTCGCCCCAAATCCTGCTCCAGTCTCTGTGGACATTCCTGGGGGTGTCTCACAAGGCTGAGTGATCCTGTTGCCAGCTGGAGTCCACAAGCCCTCCCCCACTGCCCAGCCCTCTGTACTGCACAATGCCCTGTCCACCAGGCGTGCTGACACTGGCCTGGGCACAGCTGTGTCCACTAGGTACAGGCTGATCCTGCAGCGGTGAGGCACCCCGGCGGCTTCCGAGCGGTACGAGGTCATCCGGGTGGGCCAGAGAGCACCATTCATGGTACACTCAGCGAGTGGGAATCTCAAGTCCGCTCCTTCTGTTCAGATAGCTTATAGGGCTTACAGGAGACAGCTCCTTCTGTTCCAAATACAGTCCCCTGGTTTCTGTGAGACTCAGATACGTACCCACAGGGTGTACACTGGGTGGGGTGGTGAGGCCTTGGTCCCCAGGCAAACAGACACGCCCAGACCCTGATGTGTCCCAGAACACGCGTCCTTCCCGACAACGCCGGCTTTGTTGGTGGCCAGGCTGCGGTGCCTGGCGCCCACTGCCCTGCGATGACTATTCTCCTGGGAGGAGCTTCAGCCCCTTCTGTAGAGAGTTCTGAGTCTGAGCCCTCTGAATCCAGACTCGTCTGAACCTGAGCAAAGGCCGCAGTCTGGGCTCCTCCTGGGATCTTCACCGTTTGTCCGTCTCCCACTAAAACCAGGGTGGGTGAGGGGGAGGGGCTGATTGGGCCTGCCATGGGGGAGGTGCTCGGTTTGGTTTTCCAAATAATTATTTTATTTATTATTATTATTATTTTTAAAAATTTGCTATAGGGCACATGCTTTTGCTAGAGAGAGAAAGAGAGAGAGAGAGAGAGAGAGACAGTAAACTGCCAGGTTTGGGACTCGAACTCGGCTGGCCATGTGGGAGTCCAGTGCTTTAACCACCGCACCACCTGCTGGCCCCCAGCTCGACATTGTTCTTAGTGAAAGACTATCCCATACCCTGGGCCAGCAGTCACCAAATTTTCACCTGATGGAAACCACTCGGGGGAATGTTAGAAACATAGATTCCCGGGTTCGCTCCCCAGAGCGCGGGTCTATTGTATCTGGAAAGAGGGTCCAGGAATACACATTATTGTTCTTTTTCTACTTTGGGCTGTAGGGCCTGCATGCTCACCAGAGAGAAACAGAGACAGTGAGAGGGAAAGTGAGACATCACTGCCCGGGGTGTGTGTGGAGGGAGAGGATGGACATACCGCAATTCCTTCCCTTCCGTTCTCCTCTGGGGATTTTGAGCATGCACACACATGCACCCAGCGTGTTTTTCAAGTTGTCAGATCTGAGACTCAAACCATGGAGCTGTCCGTGTGGGATCCAGCTGCTATAACCTCCGTGCCACCTACTGGCCCCAGAACTATGCATCTTAATGGGCTCCCAGATGATGCAGGTGGCCCTGGAATCTCACTTTAATTCTATCTTCAGCAGGCCTGAACTGGAGCCACTGTTAGCCCTTTAGCCGCCTTTGTGAGAGTCGGAAAAAGATAGGCCCTCCAGTTGCTGAGGTCTGAGTGCAAGGCGAGGACCTGCAGAGCAGAGTTCAGCCAGTACTTTCCGCCCCCGCAGCCCTTTGCCCAAATCTGTGTGCTGTGCACAACCCTCACGGCTGTCCGCAGCCTGGTCTGAGGCTGCTCCTGCTAAGGAATAGTGCACCTGAGAAGTTCATCTCTGAGTCACCAGTCGCTCAGTAAGTCCAGGAAGCGCCAGCGTTGAACTGCGTTGGCTCTTCGCATGTGGAATTCAGGTGAACCAAGAGCCAGTGTCTCCAGACCTGTTGAGAGCGGCCTAGAGAATATGAGCGTGAAAGATGGAACACAGAGCTCTTCACATTGCAGTCACTCGGGGAGCTTTGGGCCTGGTCTAACGCCTGGTGCCTGGGTCTCACCCCAGCAGGGATCCAGCCTGGGCATCGGGGTCTAACGCCTGGTGCCTGGGTCTCACCCCAGTAGGGATCCAGCCTGGGCATCAGGATTTAAAGCCATGGTTCTTTTTTTCTTTCTGTTTATGTTGTTCTTTTCTTCTTCTCTTTTCTTTTCTTCTTTTTTAAGGTTTTTTGCTGTAGGGTACACATGCCCAGAGTGATTTTCTTTTTCTTTTTTTTTTTTTTGGGGGGGGGGTTGCTATAGGGCACGTGCACTCACCAGAAAGACAGAGAGAGACAGAGAGACAGAAAGCGAGAAATCACCCCCCATGGGGGATGGCCACGCCACAACCCCTTCTCCTCCATTCTCTCGGGATCTTGGGCACGCACGCACACGCACCCGATGTGAGTTTAAGCCACGGGGTCTGGGACTTGAACAGTGGTCAACTACATGGGAGTCCAGCGACATAGCCATTAAGCCAACTGCTGGACAACTCAGAGTGATTTTCAAGCCACCAGGTCTAGGACTTGAACTATGATCAGCCATGTGAGAGTCCAGCGCCTTAACCACCATGCCACCTGCTGCCCACGCCCCTACCCACCCCAGTGATTCTAAAGTGCAGATAAACATAAGAATTGTTGTCCCGAGAGCTGTCACCTGGTCGGGGAGCTGTGCTGACTGCTGTGTGTCTTCCTAGGGACTGGAAAACCATGGAGGAAGTCGCCCTCTGACCAGGGCAGGCAGCTGGCTCTCCTGCTCTGTGTGGTCCGGCTTTGTGTAATTCCTTTAGGTTTTTCTCAACAGAAGT